GTACTCAGATTCCAGCCATACAAGCCACAAGGCCAGTACAGCGGCTCTTTTCCCCTCCTGAACACTGATAAGAACAGATAATACCCTTGATCTCCACCAAAAGACCGAGAAGCGATTTACATTGTGTTAGTCCAGGCCAAACCAATGTTGTCATTTTGAGCGGGGAGTTGAGGACTAAATATTCCATCGGCATCTTACACCTTCCTGGGGATCCTGGTGGTGAGATCTTCGTGTTCCCAGCTCCTCCCACTTCTTACCACATTGTGCATTGATTAGGTTATATATAAGCCATGCAGAGGAGAAGCTGGGAACTCTATCAGGGAGGTCTCACATTATGAGCCGTGAGTGATCCACAACATCTGTGCCCACACGTAAAGGCAAGAATCGTTTTCAGGCAGGATGACCCTATTCAACGTCTTTTTTAATGTCTCCAGATTGTCATTTTCAGTAATAAGCATTTAATCTGAGTGATGCGGCTGTGCAAATCCCCCAAATGTCAGACATCCCCCGTCATTTGTGGACTAATAGAAGGAGGAGGGACCCTCAGACATGTGAGCTGTACAGGGGGAAGGTGATGTCTGATGGATTGCATCCTTGCTCATTCCTCCAGTAATCCTGGAGCCCCTCCAACCCCATCCTCCCGTCTCACAGGGGGTTCCTTTGACATCTGCGGCCAAAGAAAATATTACACACTTAACTAAAATTCCACTTCAGCAATAAACTATTATTTTATTAATACATTTTCTAATTGAATGTCATTAAAATTCCTATTTCTATGGCCACCAAGGAATGAAGATGATGCTAATTTTCTCATTTCCTACGATTTGGAAAACTGAGGGTGGTCTGTGTCCAGAACCCCCTCATTTTCTGTTTGTGTGAATGACCCTAAGCGTTTCCCAAATAATGCCCAGAGCTGGTCTCCCCTCCCTTAGTGATCAGTCTGCTGCAGGCAGGAGGAAGTATTTGCCCCGCCTCCCCTCCCTTAGTGATCAGCCTGCTGCAGGCAGGAGGAAGTATTTGCTCTGCCTCCCCTCCCTTAGTGATCAGTCTGCTGCAGGCAGGAGGAAGTATTTGCCCCGCCTCCCCTCCCTTAGTGATCAGTCTGCTGCAGGCAGGAGGAAGTATTTGCCCCGCCTCCCCTCCCTTAGTGATCAGTCTGCTGCAGGCAGGAGGAAGTATTTGCCCCGCCTCCCCTCCCTTAGTGATCAGTCTGCTGCAGGCAGGAGGAAGTATTTGCCCCGCCTCCCCTCCCTTAGTGATCAGCCTGCTGCAGGCAGGAGGAAGTATTTACTCTGTCTCCCCTCCCTTAGTGATCACTCACTGGGCCTGTTTAACCGCGTGAAGACCAGGTGTTTAGACCCCCTTCCTGGCTAGGCCATTTTTCAGTATTCAGCGCTGTAGTACTTTGAATTACATTTATTCCGTACTGAAATTAATTTTATACAATTTTTTGGGGACAGATAGAGCTTTATTTTGGTGGTATTTAATCACCACGGGGGGTTTCATTGTTTACTATATGCAGGAAAAATTACTGAAAATTTTGACAAAAAAAAGTTTTTTTTAAACATTATGTTATAAAACAACTAATATTACCCACTTTTTTGGTAAAATATAAAAGACGGGGTCACGTCGGGTAAATAGACACAAAACATGTCAAGCTTTAAAATTGCGCGCACTCGCGAAATTACAAAAAACTACCATATCCAAAATTGGCCATAGGTGACACTTTAGAGGCTTTTACCGCTCATCAGTTTAGTGTTATCAGTGATTGATGGCTCTACAATTATTGCTCTCACTGCGACGTTCGAGGCTATATGTAACATGTGTGGCGTAATGGGCGCAATAGTTGTTTTTGCAGGTATGCGCACCTGACGCATGTTTACATGCGTGTATGTAGGTGTGGGGACTTTTAAAAAAAAAATTGTTTTTTTTAAATTCTTTTTTATGTGTAACTTAAAAAAGTTTTTGGGGGAAACTTTAATTTTTTCACTATTTTTTTTCCCCAGAGGGGGCTAAGAATCCCCTATATGTGATAGCAAAAGATGTGACAGGTCCTCTTTATGGAGACATCAGGGGTCTCCAAGACCTCTAATGTCACCTAGGACCCCCCTGAAGAAGCAGAGATCGGCTTCATCAGCTTCTCTCCAGCATCTGAAGCTGGAGAGTGACACAAGAATGCGGAAGTGATATAATATACATCAGTTCCCCATTCTGACAGCGGAGAGGGGACTGGAGGGAGATCGTGAACCGACCTCCCTCTGATCCCTGTTACAGAGGCACTATGCTGGTCCCGGGTACAGTGGAGCCCAGGATCAGCGGGAGGGGGGGAGCCGTGGAGGGGGGCGCACATACCGGGACCCCATACAAGCGATCCGCCGGCTCTATAGCTGCCGGATCACTTGTATGTTAACAGGCATCGCTGCCGGTTTTTAAATTATGTGTCTTTCCCGCTCATGCGCGGCGCGCACTAGTGGGCGGGACTAACAGGCCGTGTATACACGGCCAGTTGCATCCAAGAAGTATACACAACGGCCGGCCGGGAGGTGGTAAAGCAACTTTCTGGCTAGTCATAGAGTGAGAAGTAGAAGCAGGGGCTGATCTGTGTATACATGTACTCACAGCCCAGAACATAAAGGCTAATACTCAGGTGCCAAGGTGTACATGCTTGTGTCATGTATGGTATGGACAGCATCCAAGAAGTAGATACTGACCCTGCATGATGCCTGAACAAAGATGGCTCTGGCCGTTTTCGGTAGAAGGGCCAGATTAATGTCTCAGCCGGCTTAACGTGACTGCCAATTTCACAATAATAAAACAGGTGGAACGTGGAGGTGACTAGAGGGTCACATATCTACAGCAGCTTTAATTAGCCCCTAGTTCTGCCCCATGCCAGACCAGTCATTTCGGGGAAAGCTCTGACATTCCCTGGTAAGTTCAAACCTTGACCTCTCCATTCTGTTTCCCACACATTCCAAGTGGCCCATTACTATGACTGGGGCCGTCAGTGGCCCTCAGGAATGTATGGAAGGGCATGGGAAAGCTTTGCTAATACCAGGAAGTGCCAAAGCTTAGTCTGAACCATAGGCGTGCAGCCTATTGGATTAGGGTGTGCACACAAAAGTACAAACACATATATATATATATAATGTGCCCCAATTATCAGGAAGTCAGGCGGCAGATCATGACTCGTCGCCCGGCTTCCAGAGTGTGCCTGTGAAGCTGGTGTTCTAGCGAAAGAACACCGGCTTCAGAGGTTGCCTGGCTTCATGACCAATCAGGAAGCCGGGCAGCGATTCATGACCCAGGACGTGACTCATGAGGTGCCGCCCCGGCTTTCTGATTGGTTAAGGAAGCCAGGCTGCCTAGGAACAAGTGAAGCTGGCATCCTAGCCAATCAGGAAGTCAGGCAGCAGGTCATTACCCGCCTCCCGGCTTCCTGATTGGCTAGGAGGCCGGCTTCACTTGTTCCTAGGCAGTCTGGCTTCCTGACCAATGAGGAAGCTGGGAGGCAAATCATTACGTACGGCCCAGCTTCCTGATTGGTTAGAAAGCCAGGCTGCTTAGCAACACGTGAAGCCGGCATCCTAGCCAATCAGGAAGCTGGGAGGCGGGTCATAACTTCCTGATTGGAAAGGAAGCCGACCCCATGCTCCCTCGGCACTGCCCGTCAGAGGGAGATCTACCTCTGACCGGAAGTTCCGGTATCCGAGGTAAGTATCGGAGCATTGGGCCGAGTACGAGTACTCGCCCAAATACTCAATATCGGCACCGACACCAATACTAGTATTGGTATTGGTGCATCCCTAAATAATTCATTCAGTACATACATACACAGACCTGATGCATCCTGGTTTCCCATCTCTTTAACTGTCCCTTACCTCTTCCAGCAGGGGTGCATTAATAAAGCAGGGAGCCTGGCAGGTGGTCATGCGACCACCCGCCCGACTTCCTGATTGGATGGGAAGCCTGGGAAGGCACAGCCACACTCCCTCTGAGCTTCCTAGGCCCTGAGGACTGTAGCTGTTATGTGAAGAATGTAATTGGCAAGTGCTGCTGTGCTCTGTATCGCTGAGCCGGTCTTTGTGATCCCTCCACCGGCTCATTGACTAAATACACGGCGCCCGTTTTTGCAGTTTCAATGTTGCACTCGGGGTGATTAGGCTGTGTCCAGGCAAACCCAGCACACCCTCTGCGCACGCCTATGGTCTGAACAGCCCAGCATTTAGGCACAACAGGGGCACTGAAAGCTGCTGCAGGTAGCTATGTGCAGATCCATTTCGAAGCTTGCCCTTTTACTAGCCTAACCAGACACTAAAGGGGCTATTTATAAACAATTTGAAGGCCCTTCACCCTGCGAATATCTGTGACCATTTGTTGTGTGTGAACAATGCCAAAAACGTACATTCTTCATATATATTTTTTTGAGTTTGAATGTATTGTGATGTAATACTACATTATGGCCACTAGATGAAGCTGAGAAGTATAGCAAATAAGAATTTATTTCCTATGCCCATCAGCTCCATCTAGTGACCATAATGTAGTATTACATCACAATACATTTGAAATGAAAACAATATATATTAAGAACATTTATTTTTGGCTTTATTACCACAAAACGAATGTTCACAGATATTCGCAGGGCAAATGGCCCTATAGATTATTTATATATGGACCTCTTTCATTAGGCGGCTAACATATCTTGCATCTGCCTCTTTTTCCTAAAGCCATAGAATGATATAGAAATCACAGGATCTTTCAGTAAGGACAAAATAATTTATTGTAGTTTTGTTTTAAATGTTTGGGGGTATCATGTGCATATATCATAATGAATCACCAATACGAAATTTAAAAAAGGAAGGAGAAAAAAACCTAAATTTTACCTTTATGTACAAACAGAATACTCATAGGAATGCATCTTTGGAAAAAAAAAAGAAAATTTTTTGTAACTTGAAAGATCGGTTATTTCTACGTTGCGCCCTCTCTGTTAATGTTCCGATTACCTCCTACTAGGCTGAGGAATACTATGGATTCCCCATGAAAAGTTTGGTGGCCAAAGCTGAGGAACATCTTTGTTTGGCCTGGTCAGTGCCCGTACCACCACTATGTCCAATGGAGGATGGCGGTGACCATCCCACTAGATAATATTACTGCTCTGAAAAGGTAAAGTCACTATGGCATTTGAAATAGCCGAGAAAGCTGTTCCCGAACTTTTGGAGTTCTTGTGTAGACTTAAGATATCCATACTGGTTGGCTCTGGACGATTTTTCCTGAAGATACTTCTCATGGTGGACTGGAAGTTGTTGGTGACGAAACAATAGACAATGGGGTCCATACAGCTGTTGAGGCTGCTCAAGGTTACTGTGACGTGGTAGACAATGAGGATGACATCTCGAGACATGGCGCCACTGGCGCAGAAGGCCACTTGACTAACGTGGATGGGCGTGAAACAAACTGTGAAGATAATCAGCACGGTTATGAGGAGCTGTACCGCCTTCATCCGCCTCTCTCGGCTTTGGTTCATCAGCGTTGACCTAGACAAAGCCCACATGATCCGCAGGGTGTAGAAAGTGATGATTATCAGAGGGACAAAGTACTCAAAGGCGGTCAGCGTGAAGAGCTGGAAAAGACAACAATAGGGGTGTTTTATGGTCGTGGTCAGTATGGTGAAAGTCACGACCACAGCAAATATCCAGATAAAAATGCAGATACACTTGGCATAGTTGGGGTTTCTCCACTTGCGCGAGGCCTCCACTTGCACGATGGCCATGTAGCGGTCCACGCAGATGCAAGTCAGGAAAAGAATACTGCAGTACATGTTGACAAAGTACGTGAAGCTGTGAACGAAGTAGCAGGTGTGGCAGGCCTCTACGTTGTAGTACATGACAATTCGTGTCGGTAGAGAGAGGCCCACCAAGAGGTCCGTTACCACCAGGTTGATGGTGTAGATGACAGAGGTGGTCTTCGCTTTGGTTCGGAAGCAGAACACGTAGATGGCCAAACTGTTCAATATTATACCCACCAGGAAGATAAGGGTGTTGATGACTAACAAGGCTACCCAAAGACCATAGAACCTGTTATGTAAGGTCTCGTCCAAGTCTGCTAGTTGGTGAATTTCGGATGTCTTGTCACTTTCTTTAGAGTGATTCTGTCCAAAGTTATTGGATGAGTTGGGTCTGTGGTTGAGCAGGCACTCCATGTGTATTCTCTGAAGCAACCTACAAAACAATATGACATTAAAAGTGTTACAAATCAGATTGTATGTGAAGGCCTAAAGTTTTATGAAGGGTGTAATTACCTGCCCCCCAAAAAGAAGAAAACAGTGAGAAACATTCTTACCTTACTCTTACCTTACACCTTAACTTCAGGCCACTTCTTGTCAGCGGGGGTAACATCGCTGGGCATTCTCCCGGGATCCGGAGAAAACTGAGAATCCCAAATCCCATGAAATGGTTCTATTGCTCAGTATGGAAGAATGTTGTTGTGGGATCTGGGCTACTCAGCTTTCCAAGGACCCCAGAAGAATGCCAAATGATGTCACCCTAACCTCCAAGAAGGGGTGCAAGATGGGGTGTAAGGCAAGCCAGGCCAAATCCCAGAAGCCAGGAAGAGGCTGCAAGATGAGGTGTAAGGCAAGCCTTTGCCAAATCCCAGGAGCCAGAAAGGGGGTGCAAGATGGGGTGTAAGGCAAGCCAGGCCAAATCCCAGAAGCCAGGAAGAGGCTGCAAGATGAGGTGTAAGGCAAGCCTTTGCCAAATCCCAGGAGCCAGAAAGGGGGTGCAAGATGGGGTGTAAGGCAAGCCAGGCCAAATCCCAGAAGCCAGGAAGAGGCTGCAAGATGAGGTGTAAGGCAAGCCTTTGCCAAATCCCAGGAGCCAGAAAGGGGGTGCAAGATGGGGTGTAAGGCAAGCCTTTGCCAAATCCCGGGAGTTAGGAAGGGACTGCAAGATGAGGTGTAAGGCAAGCCTTTGCCAAATCCCGGGAGTTAGGAAGGGACTGCAAGATGAGGTGTAAGGCAAGCCTTTGCCAAATCCCAGGAGCCAGAAAGGGGGTGCAAGATGGGGTGTAAGGCAAGCCTTTGCCAAATCCCGGGAGTTAGGAAGGGACTGCAAGATGAGGTGTAAGGCAAGCCTTTGGCAAATGCCAGGAAGAGGCTGCAGAATGAGGTGTAAGGCAAGCCTGGCCAAATCCCAGGAGCCAGGTAGCCAATGCTCCTTAACAATTACAGCTAGAACCTAACTTTTGAGGTTTCCTTTAGTCAGTGGTGGACCTAGGGAACAAAGGGCCCTGGTGCAAGATTATTTTTGCCCCCCCCCCCCAAAAAA